GCCGCAGAATGGGTTCATGCGAAGCTCTGGCGCCAGCGAGTCCGTGTCGGTCAGAACTCGGTGTCTCTTGCTTCGCTCCGCACGGCACTCTTCGCACTCGCCCTCTGGCGAGTTCAGAAGCGCCGCCATGTCGGCGCACTCTCCGGTGAAGCGCTCCCCCCAAGTCTTGCGATGCGGGCCCAGTACTGGGTCGTCCACCACGTCGTCGTTGCACACGCAGTTACCCGTGCTCGGGGACGTCAACGTCGGGAGCCCGTGGAAGTAGCTGTAGTCCTCCATGCTGAGATTTCCAACTCTGCACTGGCCCAGAAACGAGTTGTACCATGCATCGTCACACCTCATCAATTCGGTCAACTGCCACAAGGATCGCAACGACAAGGCGGGTGCAGTTCAGCCACCACGGTGCGGAACGCACGACGAGCCTAGTGCGCACGAACGCAGTATACAGAACATCGACAGTTTATTCCAGGCCTGGCGAGCGCTCCATCGACCGCCCTCGGCAGCGAGACGAACGGTTCCAACTCTGTCGGGTGTTTCTGTTGCGTTACTATTGGGGATGACTGGGCTGGTCTGCGCGTTCGTTTTCCATGCATGTGCGTGCATGTATTGGGCAAGAGGGCGAGAAGATGCATAAAAAGGCTCGTCGGTGACGCGCCCCCGGAACCTTCCGCGGTGACAACCGCGCTTGCATGTCCTCGGACGGTCAACGCAACAACGAGGCTGACACGACGGCGAGGCCAAGGGAGCCAAGAGTGAAACATCATCCTGAGAGACAGCGGCGAGCTCGCACGGGTCAGGGCCGATCTCACCTGCCTCAGCAACCCTGCCGCATCGAGACACAAAAAGGAGGGCCGCGAGCGTTCCGCTCGCTCTCCAGAATGAAAGCGCTACCAGGAGTGCTCCCCCTGTCGTCGAAATGGCGTCGGCGTCGGAAGCATCGCCATTCGCGTTCACGTTGTAGTCGTCGTCGTCGTCGTTGTCTCCACGACTTCCTCGACGAATCGTCGTCGTCGTCGTCATCGTCGTGGTCTTCGGCGACGGCATCGTCGTCGTGGTCGTGGTCGTGGTCGTCGTCGTCGTCGTCGACGTCGTCGAGCGGTCATCGTCGTCGTCGCTACCGTGGTCGTGATCTTCGTCGCCGCTTTCCACGTTTCCATGCCGCCGCCGTCGGGGTCCCCGAGCATCACCACTGCTACGTACCACCTGCGCTCTTCCTTCGGCAATTCCGCACGGACCGCCTGGAATTCTAAACGCACCCGCCAAGGAAAAACTGCCAATCTCCTTCGCACAGATGTTGCAGAGATACGAACGAGATGAGTATCTGGTCGGACTGGGTGACCCTGTCATCCATTCCAGTGAGACCTAGCGCCTAGAACTCAGCTTCACCACTTCACCCAATGCACCCACGCGGAGTACCAAACAAACCTGCCGAATTGTTGCACGAGAGATGCGCCATCGCCACAGCGAAATACACCAACTCCTTCAGTGCAAGCTCTTACGGGTAAGTACGATGCCGCCGAAGAGGAAGGACTGCTCATGGTCCACTGCGCCTGATGCGAATAGCATACTCATTTCTCGGCGCTGCCGTGCCGACATAGAGCGCTCCGCTCCGATAAGCTGCTTCCAACTAAGTGGGCTCACGTGAGGGTGAGCAATGAGAGGGTCTCAAAAACCTGTGCTACGCGCATTGCCCTGGATGCCCATGTTCGACACTCTGGCGTACTCATTATCCCCGCCATGCGATGCTTCACAGTTGCAACGTCGCCGACGGAGTCTACGCGCCAACGGGCGTCCTGGTCGGTGAACGGGTTCACGCTGCACACATGGAAACACAAACTCGTGCCTACCTGAGCGTTGAGTTTCCTCATGCAATTGAGGTCACCGCTGCCATACTGCATCGGCTTCTTCGTCATGTGAGCGAATTTGACCGCGACAGCCTGCTTCGTGAACACTAGTGCTCTGACGGCGTTCCGGTTTAGGTGCAGAACTAGCTCAGGCGGCAAACGCTCCGCCATGCATGCTGGGCGACGGCAGTGCGGCGACGATCGAAACTTGCCACGCAAACGAGGCATGATCACCGACTCCTCGCCCTCCTCGCTCCAAGGAGCCCCTTATGCAAGCAAGCCAAAGTAGCAGGGCGTACCAGCACCTCTCCATGCCGACAGCAAGGGCACCTGGGGAAAGAAGCTTGTGCTCATGGGCGGAGCTACGCTCACAGCCGAACCGCAATGCTGTAAGCCAAAATGGCAACAGCGACGACAACGCTGGGGCACTCCTGGGCGCTCCTCAGCCTTCGGCAATGCCCCGAACCACGAGAGTGAAAACCTGCGTGACCGCGCGACAAGACATCCGAAAAGGAAAAGGAGGAAGAAGACGAAGAGCGGAACGACCAATGTCAATTCTACCAGAGATCACGACTCTTTGCAGGACGATCCCGAACGTCTCACACACACAGAAAGGCTCGACCGACTCCCACTAGCCCCAGTAGCCCGAACTGCTCACGCCGCGAGAAACCCGATCGACCCACCCTGTGGGAACCTTGGAAATTACCTGGAACTGCACCAAGGACAACCGTGTATAATACTATATCCTGACAATCGGAACACCTGCAACACCAGAGAACTAGAACCCAGGCCCCTGGACGCCCGGAGGCACGATAAGCCTCGATCCGCTACGTGCACTGTGACGGGAGACGCCGACAGTCACGTTGAGAGTCTCGAGCTCTTGCATACCTGCAAGACCTCTCAGCGCGCTGTACTCCTGGAGGACTACGAAGAGCGTTCTGCCTGAATCGACTGAGCCCCCTCTTTCCAGAAAGCAAAGCGAACCACTTCAGCCCACACGTTGCGTAACGCTCCACGCGTCACCTGCACACGAGCGCGGGAAACGACACTTGGGACGACGACTCCCAGACCTCCACATGTGCCTACACAACATCCGCAAGAAAACTGGCGCACCACTCGTACTCTCTGGGGAAGAGGCAGAGGACAACGTTGAACTTCTATGCATGTCTTTCTGTGCATTCTTGATGTGTGTCGGACCGCCTTTGATGTATGCGTGCGTCTGTATTGACTACATGCGTGTATAGGTGTGAAGGGGAATCCATGATCTGATGTCGCAATGACGATGGATCCTGCGGATAAAATCTCGAAAGTGGCGCGTCTCCGAAACATCTCGCGCTGACCGCCGTGCCTGCATGTCACCGAGCGCTAACCGCCGCGACGACCTGTTGACACGAACGCGGGGCGAATGGAGAAGAATATGACTCACATGAGATGCAAAAATGGAGATCTCGTAGCGATGCTGGGCTACGTGCGGCATTTGCGCACACAAGCCACCTCGTGCCAAAAAAACACAGTAGGCGCGTGCGTTACGGGTAGGCGGAGCGAAGCTCACAGCCACACTCCAATACTAGAAGCCAGACTGGCAACGACAACCACGCTGGTCGGGAAAGATCGCTGGTTTCGACGACGACCGCCCTCAGTCATTTACTACAACGACTACTACGACTACTACGACGACTCCTACTATTACTTCTCCCACTACTACTTCTACTGCTACTACGAAGTCTACGAGACCGCAAAGGATTCAACAGAACACAAAACAACCAAGACAACATGACATTTCTGAAACGTGCGACTGCAGGATCGCCAACGGACTCTAGTGTCCATTGTCAGCTTTTGTGCACATAGAAACCCGGTGGTAAGCCTTGAAGACATCTAGAACTTGAGCCTGACAGCGTTGTATATTAGTATAGCCTGAAGATCGTGGATCCCTGGTAGGCGGAGCGAAGCTCACAACCACACTGAAATACTGTTACCCAGAATGGCAACAACGACGACGCTGGTCGGGAAGATCGCTGGATTCGACGACGACTACGACTCCTACTGCGAAGGGCCCGAACGACTCGCACGCGGACGGGGTGCCCAAACGCCTCACACCACGAGAAGTCCCACCGACTCACACCAGGACGAGAGGCCCGAACGACTCACACCACGAAGAGCCCGAACGACTCACACCAGGACGAAGGGCCCGAACGACTCACACCAGGGCGACGCGCCCGAACGACTCACACCACGAGGAGCCCGAACGACTCACAACACGAGGAGCCCGAACGACCCACACCAGGAGGAGGGGCCCGAACGACTCACACGACGAGGATACCGAGCGACCCACACCAGACATAGGGTCCCGAAAGACTCACACAAGGACGACGGGGCCCAAGGACTCACACAACGAGGGCCCGCACCGCCGCCTTCGTCGTCGTCGTCGACGTCGTCGTCGTCGTCGTCGTCTTCGTCGCGGTTGTGGTCGTCGTCGCTGCGGTCGACATCGTCGTCGTCGTCGGGTGCGTCGTCCTTGTTCAGATCAGCGCTGAGATCGTCCTCTCCGCTGAGTCCCTCTTGCCTCCCACCGCTTTCTCTCCCTCCTCTTCCGCGTCGTCCTCCTCCCGCTGCCCCCACAAGGAGGATGTACAAGGAAACGGGAAGAAGGAGGAACAGGGGAGATATGCGGAGCCAAGCGGACACACGCCTGAAAAACACCACTGTCGGCACGCTTCGCAAGAGTTGCTGTTGTGAGATGGGCTGGTGGGGATACGCGAAGCGTAAAGAATTTTTGCTTCTGTGCACTAGAGCGGGTCGGGGTCGTCTTGGGAGGAGGGCGGACGCACCAGCGCACGAAGTTTTTCAACAACTTCAGCTCGAGTCGTGCAAGAGCACGGCTGCTGTCGAAGCAGCGCCGCTAACATACACCATGCGATTCACCGCCTGCTTTCCACTTCGTTCCTTTCGGGTCATCCTTGCCTTCACCGCCTTCCACAGGTCCGAGCGAGGTCGCATGGCGACTCGCGTTGTCGGAAGTGCGAATCGCAGGCGCAAGCGCAATCCGCCGCCGTGAGGCACCGCGCAATCGCCGCTGGATCTCGCCTATGCAGGGAGCTTCCCGCCGCGGTCACACCGAACCAGCCCTACATGTGTCCTTGCTGACCCCGCGCCGCCTCACCAGTCAGATGTGCTCGACTCACAGGGAGTGATGTATGTTTTGCCCTTCCCTACTTTCACATCACCTCATGTCTCTCTCCTTCTTCACACATCATGCCTTTTTCCTTTCTGCGTCCCATTCCTTTCATCGGAGAGCATGTCTCACCACTACTTCTCTTTATCGTCCAGCTGTCACGGGGAGGGGAGGGACGGGAGAGGAGGGAGGCGACGAAGGAGATTGACCTGTCAGGAGGTACCACGATGGCCTCTGGGCCGGAGCGCCCCACCTGCGTTTTCCCTTCCCATGTTCCCTTCCACCCTTTGCCCCGTGATGTGCAGGAGGGAGGAGCAGAAGGCGCTTTCCCTACTTTCCCCTACCGCCAGGAAGATCAGAGAGGACTTTTTCGTCTTAACCCCCTCCACCGTGCTCGGCTTAACCGTGCGGGGGAGGCAGGATTGGTGGCAGCGACCTTCGACCTCGAATGCCATGAGTCAGTCAGGAGGAGGAGGAGAAAGAGACATGTGATGATGAGGAGGAGGAAGAGGCGTGAGGACGAAGAGGACTGGGGACCAGAGTAAACCCAGAATGCATCAACAATGCTGCAAAACAACCATCCATCCCAAGTCCACTCCCCATAAGTCGTTACAAGCCCTCCTTTTCATTACTGGAAGCGCCACCATGAAAGAAAAACACCAAATGAGCCTGCCATTCAGGCGAGGGTCCCGTTTCAAAAAGTAACTGCCTTGCATCCTTCGTGCAAAATATGACGAATGCGGAAAGACAAAGAACTGCCATCCTGCCAACGAAGTTTGACATACATCGGAACGGTACGACCATAACGTTCAACAAGGTGTCCAACGACAGCCCTGGTTTGACTGCATGGGAGATGCTCCACCACACCCCAGTACCTCTTGCACCAATTTACCCTTCTGGTCATTCAGCTTGACAAAGACTCAAGCGAGGGCCCCATCTTGAAAAGGATTCGACTTCAGCCCGTGCAACTTGCACACCTTGTCAAGCTTCTGGTCGCTGTATTGAAGGAACACTCAAGCGATAGGCATGTGCGGAAGAGTTGCGCCCTCCGTTCCTGCACCTAGTACGGCTTTCGAATGCGAATGCGCGGCGCTATGGCGAGGGCACCCATTTTGACACTGTTGCAAGCTGTCCAGGGTCCCCAGCCCTCCGAGATCAGATCCAAGCCGGCTGCAGCATGTGGAACGCAGGTACAAGTTCCTCCTCCGATCTCCTCGGCCTCCCCCACGTCTCATCCTCATCCCAATTCATCCTGGCGCATACTCCAAGTCCCCAAGCCCGATGAGAACATGACACTGGGGAACAGCACGCGCAAAGAACTGCCTCTCGGCTACCAGCCTCTTGCCAGACTGGACCGGCCAGGGCTTCAGGCCTGGAGAAAGGCGGCCGTCCATGAGTTTAGACAGCACCTTCTTGTCCCGGGCTGTGGTGGGGGTGGCAGAGGCCTTGCATTCCTGAGCGTATCCTCGCACTGCTGTGAGCCCCACACTTGCCACACCACCAGAGTTCACGAGTATAGGACGCCTCAGGGCTCTGAGTTACCTTGTGAGGCCTACCTGGGCAATGCGAGACAATCCAATCCAGCGTTCCACACTCCTTGGTTGGACGCCCTCGGCAAACAGTACAACATGTATACATACCCCCCTCCTCGATCACGTTGTGTGTGGTCTCCTGCAGAGCTTGCTCAGCGTTCGAGTGACGCTGAATCCTGGAAGCTCGATTGCGGGCCACGCGATCAGCTCGAGAAGTGGCCGAATACAGGGAAGCGGCTTGGATAGCCACTTGCAGGGCGACTTCTGTCAATCGCCTCTGCATGCGGACGGCTCTATTGTCGATGAGGATAACCTTCTGGATAATATGCTGGGGAAGCCTGGCCGTGCGTGCTGCTTCCCCGCGCACTCATCTGCAGCCTGGTTGGCGGTAAAGTTCTCACGGATAATGCTCGGGGGCGGCCAAGAGGGGGGCGTCCAAGAGGGGGGGGGGGGCGCAAAGCATGGCCGGCGGCATGTGTGCGGCCCAGCGGGGGGCCAGGAACGCATTGAAATAAGAAGAGGCGCCATGAAATCTGGGCAGATATCGCCATGATATCCACGCCTCCCCTAGTTATCAACCCCCTCTTTGCCGCCCCCGAGATGTGGGTGGACCCCAACATGCTCTTCCTGGAGGTGGGACTGTTCCTTGTTAAAGCGGCACGGCCCAGGATGGCCTTCACAGGCCTCTCAGAATTCGAACCACGCTGCCGACTTGGTATCATGCCTCCATGGGGTCCATGTTGAGTCCCACCAATCACACTCTGGCAATGACATTTACCACTGGTGTGCTGCAGAGCTACTTTTATCCCTACCACCAGCTCCCGCTCATCATTCTCACCGTTATCGTTCCTCCTTCTCCTCCTCCTTCTCATCCTCTCCTTCCTCTTCAAATCTCGTCGTCCTCTGGTTGTCATTGTCATCGTCCCTGCCTTCGACGTCGCAGTGGTGGTGGTGGTCGCTGTCGTCCTCCTCTCCTTCCCCCTTCCACTGCCTGCTCCCCCTCCTCCTCCTCCTTCTTCTCCTCCTCCTCCTTCTCCTCCTTCTTCTCCTCCTTATATTCCTCCTCCTCCTCCTCTCCTCCTTCTCCCCTTTGCCGTCCTCCTCCTCCTCCTCCTCCTCCTCCTCTTCCTCCTCCTCCTCCTCTCTCTTCCACTTTTTCTCCTCCTGCTCCTCCTCCCGCGGCAACTCCCCCTCCTCCCTCCCATGATTCGGCTCCTTGTCCCCCTCCTTCTCGCCCCCCCCGCTCTCTTGCTGCTGTTTGCTGCTGATTATCATCCATCTGATCATCCTCGTCTATCCTCCTCCCCCTCCCCTCCTCTCCTCCTCCCTCCTCCCCTCCTGCTCCTCCTCCTCTTCCACCTCCTCCTTCTCCTCCTCCTCCTTTCCTCCTCCTCCTCCTCTTTCTCCTCCTCCTCCTCCTCCTCCTCCTCCCTCCTCATCCTCCTCCTCCTCCTCCTCCCCCCCTCCCCCTTCTCCCCCTTTTCCCCCCCCTCCTCCCCTCCTCCTCCTCCCCTCCTCCTCCTCCTCCTCCTCCTCTCCTCCTCCTCCTCCTCCTCCTCCTCCTCCTCCTCCCCCTTCTCCCCTCCCCTCCTCCTCATCCTCGTCCTCCTCCTCCTGCGCCGACCTATCTGCCTGTCCACCTATCTACTCACCTACCGACCTACCGACCTACCTACTTACCGACCGACCGACCTACCGACCTACGTCCCGACCTACCTACCTACCTACCTACCTACCGACCGACCGACCGACCGACCGACCGACCGACCGACCTACCTACCTACCGATCTACCTACCTACCTACCTACCTACCTACCTACCTACCTACCTACCTACCGGCCTACCTACCAACATACTTTCCTACCTGCCTACCTACCTACCTACCTACTTGCCCGCCTGCATACCTACCGACCTGCCTACGACCTACTTCCTAAGCTTCCATCCTTTCCCATCCTACTTGTACTTATCCTTCCAACCTCCCTTCCTCAATCCTCTCTCAACGCCCCATCTCCTTTCACTTCTCACCGTTCCCTCCGCTCTTACCAGTCGCCTCTCGTCCCTTGCCTCCCGTTCTCATCTCTCGTTTCGCCCTTCCTTATCCCCCCCTCCTTCTCCCTCCGCCCTCCTGCTCACTCTTCACTCCTCCCTCCTCCCTGCTCCATAACCTTCTGTTGCTGCTGCTGCTGCTTCTGCTGCCCCCTCCTCCTCCTCCTCCTGCTCCTCCTCCTCCGACCTATCTGCCTATCCACCTATCTACTCACCTACCTACCTACCGACCTACCGACCGACCTACTGACCTACGTCCTTACCTACCTACCTACCTACCTACCTACCTACCGATCTGCCTACCTACCGACCTACCGACCTACCGACCTACCGACCTACCGACCTACCGACCTACCGACCGACCGACCGACCGACCTACCTACCTACCTACCTACCTACGTTCCTACCTTCCTACCTACCTACATGCCTGCCTGCCTGCCTACCTGCCTACATACCTACCTACTACCTACCTCCTAATCTTCCATCCGTTCACATCCTACTTTTACTCACCCTTCCTACCTCCTTTACTCAATCCTCTCTCAACGCCCCTCTCCTCTCACTTCTCACCGTTCCCTCCGCTCTTACCAGTCGCCTCTCGTCCCTTGCCTCCCGTTCTCACCTCTCGTTTCGCCCTTCCTTATCCCTCCCTCCTTCTCCATCCGCCCTCCTGCTCACTCTTCACTCCTCCCTCCTCCCTGCTCCATCACCTTCTGTTGCTGCTGCTGCTGCTTCTGCTGCCCCCTCCTCCTCCTCCTCCTCCGCCTCCTCCGCCTCCTCATCCTCCTCGTCCTCCTCGTCTTCCTCGTCGTCGTCCTCCTCCTCCTCCTCGTCCTCCTCCTCCTCCTCCTCCTCCTCCTCGCTCCTCTTGACTCCTGCTACTGCTCCTCCTTCTTTTTCTCCTTCTCCTCCTCCTCCTCCTCCTCCTCCTCCTCCTCCTCCTCTTCCATCTCCTCCGCCTCCTCCGACCTTGTCCTCCCCGAAGCTGTCGACGACAAAGTGGCTTACGGGTAGGCCCGACGGCTCGGTGGGGAGCCAGTGCCGCCGAAGCCGCCGCACCCGCCGTCGTCGTCGTCGTCGTCGTCGTCGTCGTCGTCGTCGTCGTGCTAGTGATCGTCGTCGTTGTCGTCGTCGTCGCCCGCGAGGGCGCGAGTCCTTGGGCGAGATGATATAGGAGTTGCCGACGAGGGGCTTCGGCCACTGGATGCCGAGCGCGGGGTCGAGGGCGTTGACCTCGAGCTCCTGGAGCCCGCGTGCCCGCGTGCCCTCCTCCTCCTCCTCCTCCTCCTCTCCTCCTCCTCTTCATCCTCCTCCTGCTGCTCCTCCTCCTCCTGCTGCTCCTCCTCCTCCGCCTCCTTCTCCTCCTCCCCCTCCTCCTCCTCCTCCTCCTCCTCCTCCTCCTCCTCCTGCTCCTATCCTTTTCTCCTCTCACTCCTCCTCTTGGCTCCTCCTGCTCCTCCTGCTCCTGGTCCTCGTCCTGCTCCTGGTCCTGCTCCTGCTCCTGCTCCTCCTCCTCCTCCTCCTTCTCCTCCTCCTCTTCTTCCTCTTCCTCCTCCTCCTCCGCCTCCTCCTCGTTCTCCTCGTCCTCCTCCTACTCCTCCTCCTCCCTCGCTTGCTCCGCCCTTGTCCTCTTACTCCTCCGCCCGCCCCCGTCCCCCCCCCCCTCTCCCTCCCCTCCTCCCTACGCCTGCCCCGTGGGAGCACGCTCTGGCCACGCGGCGGCCACAATGCGGCTGCCCCTCTTCCTGATGCTTCTCTCCTTTCACCTCTCCCTGCTTCTGCCACCCCCGTCCCCTCCTCCGCAGCATCCGCCCCTTTCCCGCTCTCCCCTCAGGCGGAGGAAAGGTGGCCAGAGAGGGAGAGGGAAAGGACGCAAGGATACGGGGCGCAGAGGCGACAGCAAGTCTCCCGCCAGCGCTCTGAAGGATCAAGATGAGTCAAGGCGTGGCCCGCATCTCAGAAAGGGGGGAGACGGGAAACGAGGGAAAAGGGGGGAGGGCGGATAGGAGTGGAGGAGGGCGAGAGCAGGGGAAGGACGGGAGGGGTTGGAGAGGAAGGAGGGGGAAGACAGAATAGGAGGGGCGGAAGAGGAGGGGGAGGGCGGGAGGGGGTGGAGAGGAAGGAGGGGAGCGGCACGCGGCCGAGGAGCCCGGAGCGAGGTCCAGCGGGGAGCCGGCGGGGCAGGTGGGACCCCCCGAGCACCGCTGCCCGCTCGCAGGGGGGCCCCTGTCCCGCGGGCGAGGGGTGCCTACAGAGGGGAAGGATGATGACGACGATGAATATGGTGGTGGTGGCGATGATGGTGGTGATGATGGTGGTAGTGATGGTATGGACTGTGAGTGGGATGGTCACCGGCTGAACCCTACGGTCATTATGATGATACGTCCGATTGTGATGATGCTCTGCGGCCTGTGTGTGCTGATGCTGGTGATGGCAACTCTAGTGATAACGATGATGGTGTTGTTGGTGGTGTTGGTGATGAGAACGGCAATGCTACTGATGATGCTGCTGCTGATGATGATGATGCTGATTATGGTGGTGACGATTGTGATGCTGGTGATGCTGCTGACGATGCTGATGGCATTGATGCTGGTGATGATATTGCTGCTGATGATGTTGAGTATGCTTATGATGTCGATGATGATGATGCTGCTGCTGATGAGGATGATGATGGTGATGCTGAGGTTGATGATGTTGATGGTGATGATGCTGACGATGATGATGACGATGATGTTTGTTATGGTGCTGCTGATGCAAATGATTACGCTGATGGTGGTGACGATGGTGCTGTTGATGGACGTGCTGTTGCTGCTGATGATGAAGATGATGATGGTGATGATGATGGTGGTGGTGATGATGGTGGTACTGGTGGTGATGGTGGTGGTGATGTAGATGATTCTGATGATGAAGATGATGATGGTGATGATGAATGTGGTGATGATGATGCTGATGATGCTGATAATGATGAAGATGAAGATGATGATGATGATGATGATGATGATGATGATGATGATGATGATGATGATGATGATGATAATGATAATGATAATGATATTGATAATAATAATGATGATGATGATGATGATGATGATGATAATAATAATAATAATAATGATGATGATGATGATGATGATGATGATGATGGTGGGGAAGCAGACGATGGGAGGAGCCCAGAGAATCGATGAAGGGGAGGCAGGGGGGACGGGCAGGTCGGGAGGGCAGGGAGGGCGAGGAGGCCCGGGGAGGCAGCGCGGCACAGGAGGAGGACAATGCAGAGGGGGAGCTGGCTCAATGCAGAGGAGGCTTCGGCTGGGACTTACTACACCGAATCCCAAGGGAAACGCTCGGCACAGCGGCCGCAAGGAAGAGCCTTATCCTCCTGAAGGAACTCGAGAGGTGTGGCCTCCTCCCGCACTCCCTTAAATCATGATGCAACCTCAACCACCACAGTCGGGGAGGTGAAGACGTGGAGGGAAAGTACATGTGGGGGAACTGAAGACCTTACGACCACGGAATTGACTGGAGGATGATGAGGGGGAGAAAGAGGAATCATAAAATCAGTGACACATCATATATGAGAGGGCGGACGCGTATCATACGCAAGAGCCAGGGCTAGTGCAACTGCGACGTTGTGCGGGCTCACGGCTTTGAGTCTGATCGGAACGATGTGTCATATTGGGTGAATAAGGTGCGGTCGTCAGATACGGCGTCACGGGCGGATCTCAGGAAGAGCTGACGATGGCGAACGGCGGAACCACGCATGTCTCATTCCACGACCTTCACGAGGAGGAGAGGAAGGGGGAGAAGTAGGAAACGAGGATGAGGACAGCAAGACAGAACAATTCGACTCACGCGAGCAAAGGCCGGCGGAACTGCCTGCTGCGGGTAATCGTTGCGAAAAGGCTCGAAGGAGGAGGAAGGGGAGGATACTCATAATGACGATTTGTGAAGGTCCTGGCTGTTTTTAGGCGTAATGCCTCCCTTTGGGCCGGTCTGGCTCGATGCTGCACTTGAGGCTGGCACGCCACGGCCGAAAAACTCCTGCAGAGCTGCTGCTTACCTGCGCCGAGTCCGAGAGGGGCCTCAGTCCTCGTCCTCGTCTCCGATGACCTGCAAGGATCGGGGAGTGAAACAACGACGCGGTCGTACACTGTCGGACCCAGACATTTGATGCCCCGGCAAGATCGAGGCGGCCAGTTCTCCCTGCTCCCTCCTTGACGGCCCCGGGGGTCCCCAGTCCGAGAGGGCCCCCGGGGCCAGCGGTCGGCGCCCGCGCGCGCAGTGCCGCGCCCGCGCGCGCGGGGCCGCCGCAACGGCGGCGGCGCCGCCTCCACCGCCTCCTCCGCCTCCTCCCTCCTCCTCCTCCTCCTCCCCCTCCTCCTTATCGTCGGCCTCTTCCTCCTCCTCCTCCTCCTCCTCCTCCTCCTCCTCCTCCTCTCCTTGTCGGCCTCTTCCAGCTCCTCCTCGCCCTCCTCCTCCCTCCTCCTCCTCCTCCTCCTCCTCCTCGGCTTCTTCTAGCTCCTCTTCACCTTCCTCCTCCTCCTCCTCCTCCTCCTCCTCGGCGCTCCCCGCCCTGCCTGGGGATGGCTTCCTCCTCCTCCGCCTCTGGCCTCCTCGCCAAGTTGTCGATCTTTTCTGGTCTCTGGAGGCCAGTCCCTGGCCTCCCATTAAGAAGCGGCTCGGGACGCAGAGCTCGGGACGCGGAGCCAACTTCCGGGTGCTGGTCGAGAGGCCCAGGGGCCCACGCATCGAGCGAACCGAGGCGCCCGATGTCTGGGGAGGTCCCCGTGGACTTCCTGGGTCGGCGCAGGACCCAGCCATCCGCCGAGGTGATCTTTCCGATCCGCGGCCCTCGACATGTGGGGCGAGAAGGGATCAGCGAGTCTTCTCTTCATGCTGGATTGATGCATGGTTCGTTTCAGTCCAGCATGAGGAGAGCACTCGCTGATCCCTTCTCGCCCCACATTTCGAGGTACCGACCGCCTCCCGGGGGGCAATGTTTCGTACCGGATCCCTGTTGAGTTGTCCTGGGGCCCGATGGCGGGCCCCAACGGCCGAAACCGAGGAAAGACGCCCAAATTACTTACACAAAAAAGCAGATCGTCCGACATCCTGCTCCCCCGGCGCGCGCAACGCGCTGAATCGCCAGGGTGGCTCCACAGCACCAGCCCAGGAGGTCGGCACGGACCTCCGAGAGTTCGTGTCTGTGCTGTGGTTTGCTCTCCGGAGAGGCTTGGGACGAGGGGGGATAACTGGATCGCCATGGAGCAGGCGGGTCCTGAGGGGAACTGCTCCTAGACCCCAGGGCCTTCCCCAGGAGCAACTTTTTCCGGAGAGACTGGGGACGAGGGGAGGGGACAACGAGATCACCATGGAGCAAGCGGGTCCTGAAGGAAACCGTCACTAGACCCCAGGGCCTTCTCCAGAACAAACTTTTTACATTCTGAATACATTCTGAATCGTTTTTTGACGGTCCCAAGGCCCGTGGAAAGCCCGGTGAACACGAACACGGTGAAAAACTTCAGGAACCGTTTCCATCAGAACCCGTGTCCATCATTGCAGCGAGGAAAAAGGGGAAACGCCTCCACGTTGGCTTGGCCGTAGATGAACTTGATCCGCCTCATGACCTCGGCCATCACGGCCCTGTTGCGTTGCGCTGGGCCACTGACGCCCACGCAGATGTACGGCGTCGAGTTGAGGTCCTCCCCATTTTCACAACCGTGTGTACACACATGAATCTGCATACGCAGATTTCCTGGTATGTGGTTGTATGACATGTATTTTTGAGTGGAGGTCCTCTCCCAAGTCCAGCTCAACGAGCTCCACTGTTCCCCCGCTCGCGCTCAAGAAAGGGGCGATGGTGTCCAGGATTGCCTGAATCCCCTGCTCGTCAGGGATCTTGGCGCCCGGCATGACGGCCTCGACCTCGTGAATCTCGGGGATTCTGTCCAGCATCGTCCGCTCTATGCCCATCTTGACCGTGATGGCCGACGACGAGCAGCTAGAGCAGGACCCCTGCATCTCCAGCCGCAGGATGGGACCCTCCAGATCCAGGACCTTGCATGGGGGGGAAAAGGATGATGCGAGGAAGGAGGAGGACGAGGAGGGGAAGGGGGAAGAAGGAATAAGAAGGAGGAGGAGGAGGAGGAGGAGGCGCAACATCATCAGCAGGAGCAGGAGGAGAAGGATCAAGCGCCAGAGCTTCAGTGCCGCGCAGGGCGCACCAGCCCCTGAGACCTTGCAGTCGCCGCCGTCCTTCTGCAGGTAGGGCCGCAGCTCGTCCAGAACCAATTCCACATTCTC